GGGGCAAGCAAAAGTCAAGTGTGAGGTATTTTGATAAGTGCATATTTAGTTCATATTAAGTGTAGATTTTTATTCGTTTATTAGCTAAATTATTGTATTTCATGGACAAAATGTACTTAAAAGTGTTTGAATTATGTTTTCAGTCCAAAAGTGAAGCTCGGAAGCAAAAGGAAGCAGGAGAAGCGGTTAGGAGCTCGGGAATTGAACAAAGGAGAAAAACACCAAAAAAACAACACCTACTCGGCGAGTAGGGTCATCTAATCGGCGAGTCCAAGTGATTATTCGAGAAGATAAAGACTCAAAGACCCAAAGACTTATCGCATATGGGGATTGTGAGATAGGCTCGACGAGTCGTCACCAGACTCGACGAGTCGTTGCGTGTATATAAACATAACTTCTCAGATCGATAAAAAAAAAGATTCTGAAACCCTTCTGGGGAGATTAGCTGCGACTGAAGAACCAGAGAAACCCTAGAGAACGAAGATACAAGCTAGAATCCAATTCCGAAGGAGATTTGAGGCAAAATTCATCATTCTACTTAATCTTTTGTTTTCCATTATGGCTAGACAATTAGAATTCGTTTGTTTGCTGTTATTTACTTCGATCATGAGCTAAAACTCTTAAACTTCTGTTAGGGGATACAAAATTAAGACTATGGTTTGATTATTGGTAGGATTAATTCAATCTTGGTGACTTTTGTTATTTTAGCTTGCTAAAGAACCTTGTGTGTGAATGATAATTAATTTTCTGTTAATAGGAAGTTAATTAAATAGCATGAACATCGTTTGATTATCAACCTCATATGCTATGTGACCACTTTGTTATATGTCTAGGATTAATGAACATGAAACTAGAATTAATAAGAAAATTAAGTAAATTCATGTATAAGCTTGTGTGATGACCATCAACAAGAAGTTAATTAAAAGCCAAATTAGTTAACTATTGTAAGTCTAAATTAACCCGAATAATTAATCTAGTGAATTGAATTAAATTAGACAACTGATCACTGTTTGAGTTAGTTTATTCACTAAGGATTAGTGTAGTGAATGCGAATCTAGTCACTTGAATCGGTAACCAACAAAAGAGTTAATCCATTGCACCATTACCTTGAAATCAACCATAGGATCAATTGAGTTAAACTAAACAGAAGTTCCTTCCCATTATTTAATCTATTTAATTCTTTGTTTCTCTAGTTTTTAGATTAAGTATTAGTTAGTAAGTTTCTAGTCTTGTAAAACTAGAGAAAACCCCTTACTTATTAATTAATTTAGATAGAATTAGTTTTTAGTTTTAATTTACCGTTCCCTGTGTTCGATACCCTACTTATTTAACTATACCACAATTGATAGGTCCACTGCCTTTGTGTGTTTATTTTACAATTAAAAGTAGGTTTAAAACTAAGTGAGTTTGCACACATCAGCCATATTCTTCTTTAAGTGCTTAATCCTTACAAATCTAATCCTAAAACTTCAAATCTACTTCTTTTCTCTAACTTAATGGATAAAGTTTCCAACTTTATCCATTAGGACTCCACCACAAGCCAATATCTACAATTCTATGTCCATTAAATCCTTAATGGGGCTAAATCTTGTGCATGGGACCAAGGATCATCCAAACTGAGACCTTTTTCTCACTCAACAGAACCTATGGAACATTGGAGAGCCATAGCAAGCTCTGAAGTTCCTCAAACTCCAAGAACATTCATGGTAAGAACCAAAACCACCCAAAATTGACCTTAAACTTGAATCTATAAAATAGGATGTGTCAAGGTGAGAACATTATTCCCCAAATAGCTTCGAAAACTAAAGATAATGATGGATCCCAACCGGCTCCTTGCTTCATTGCTTCCTTGTGAACTTCCTTCTTCTCAAGCTTCATCAAAAATCCAAGAAATAAGCTTCAAATCAAATGAACAAGCTCTAAAATCTTCATGGAGGGTAGGGTTTCATTTGGAAGAGTTGGAGGCTAATGAAGATACCCTAAACCTTGAGTTTAGGGTCTTAAATATGTAAGAAACCCTAAAAGATCATAGGCTTGGGTTGCAGTCACTGTCACGTCATGGCCTTCCTCTTGCCACGTTGTAACAGCCAGATATCTGAATACGCATTCATGCATTGGCATGCCATATCTTGGTGCTCCATTCACCATGTCGTGGCACAAGGTTTTTCCCCAAAACCTTACATTTGATCATTCTAAGCCCTCAATCGATCTATTCTAGAAAATGGGTATTACAATCTTCACCCAACTCCTTGGAAAATCTTTCAAGAATGTGTAGCAAGAAATGTTCAAGTTTTTGTGCATTTCCGTGCGTTGAATCCTCCGAATTCTCAACCCAAGGTTGTGCTAACACACTCTCTTCTTGTTGAGTCTATGCTTGAGGCTTGCACTTTTTCTTGTCTTCTACCGGTTGTTTTCCTTTGCCTCATGGTGAGGGAATTTCTCGTATAATTTCATCATTAGAGTCATCAAAGCTTTAGTTTTGTGATTTAGAGTGATATAGTGGGGTTTGGTTTTGTGATTAAGATTGATAGAGTGGGGTTTGACTTTGGGGTTGATTTGGTGAAAGTTGATCGGTAAAAACGACAAAGTTGTTGAACAGGTTGGGACTAACATTTGGTACTTGCATGGGGTAGTATTATCTAACATTTTAGTATTGAAATTGTGGAGGGGATTGAATGGGGGCATCAAATTGGGGACGATAAACCAATAGGAATGGATCGAAGGTGAAAATATTTTGATTTGGGTTGTATTGTTGGGATTCACTTTTTTTAAGAAATATAGAGGAAATTATAGAAGAATGTGTGATTTTAAAGGTGAAAGAAGTGGGGTATTTATAGGATTGTAAAATGGTGTGTGTGTGTGTGTGTGTGTGTGTGTATATATATATATATATATATATATATATATCAAAAATGTCGTCACCAAGATAGAGAGAGAGAGAGAGAGGTTATCACACCCCTCCTACCTTTCACCTACCCCACACCCAGGGTGTGGTGTTCGTGGGTGCAATTTGCTAAACTGTACGATTCCTTCCGGCCCTAGAAACATTTTCCTAAATGTGTGCTTTCATCACTATTGGGTAGGGTATCAAGAAACCAATTTTTAGATAATCAAGAGCAATGAAATCTTGATTTCATGCTAAAATTTAACTTCAAACATAGAATACTTTGCTTTGTTTGATGCTTTGAGCGACAATTAATTTGGCAGAGTAATATTTTGCTTTTTATGTGTGTATTTTCTCTAAAAAAAACTGAACATCTTTGTATACAGAGAAGAAGACCGAAGTTAAGAGCCGGATCATTTCATTTGGAAACTTTGTTTCTATCGGTAGCTTTTAAGTTCCCAATAACATTAAACTTACGATTGTTATTTTGAATGGCGTAGAAGAAGATGCAACGGTGAGATTGTCATTATGGAAGACTTTAGCAACATTAGGAGGCCTAATGAAAGGTATGGATCGATCCTTACTTGATCCTAAGCCTAAATCTTTAAAAAAAAATTATCTTGGATGTGGAACTTTTTGACACCCCCTTGGTTGTCCTTCGTTTACATGAATCAATAAATTAGGCTAGAAGATGAGCAAACTGGATACACTTTTCATAAAATCATACAATTTAAGAAAAAAATTACAAAATCTTAAATGTAACATAAAAGATTGTTTTGTGTATAGAAGACAGAATCAAGGTGCTGAAAGAACTTCCAAGGAAAGTCAATGGTATGCATAGTCGCATGAACAGGTGATGACCTAAAGCGACGACTATATTTATGTCGCCGATATTTATAGTAGAGTTCAAAGTGGTAAACACAAGTAAAAATCTAATGTAATAGAATGTTTTGCAAAACACCATGTATGAAAAAAAATATGTAGTCAAAAATTAGTTGTACTTTTACGCCTCGTTCCCGAGTTTAACAAAAGAAATGAAAAGAAGAGAAAAGAAAGTCACAAGAGAAAAGAAGAGAAAGGAAATAAAAACAAAATTTTGTTTTGTGTTCCCGAGTTGGAGATAAATGGAAAGAAAATAAATCATTTTGTTCTTTATTTCCAAATCCTCCCAAATCGGAAGGAAAGTTAGGAGGGAAACTGATCCTCCCATTTCCCTCCACTTCCTTCCAATTCCCTCTTTTAATGAAACTCGGGAACATCAATTTCTTTTATTTTCTTCTCATTTCCACCCACTTCCTTTCCTTTCTCTCCTTAAGTTGAACTCGGAAACGAGGTGTTAGTTTCAATCAAGAAATGACTTAGGTGTAATCAGTATCAAAAAAAAATTGTGTAATTTAAAAGTATACATTACGATCAATTTAAAGAGTAAATTACACGAATGGTTCCTATGGTTTAGGGTAATTTGCACGTTTGGTCCCTAACTTATTTTTTTAATTCGGAAGGTTCCTACTGTTTGTTTTTGTTACATGCTTGGTCTCTGTCTTACCTAAAAAGACTATTTTCCTTTGATTTTTTTATTTATTTAAATACACACCCCCAACTCCACCCCTCTCATCTTATCTTACTTACCTCATCAATTGTTCTTATTTAAATAATACTATTTTTAGATAAGATAGGGACCAAGCGTGTAACAAAAACAAACAGTAGGAACCTTCCGAGTTAAAAAAATAGTATTTAAATAATACTATTTTTAGATAAGATAGGGACCAAGTGCATAACAAAAACAAATTATAGGGACCTTCCGAATAAAAAAAATAAACTAGGGACCAAACATGCAAATTACCCCAAACCATAGGGACCATTCGTGTAATTTACTCCAATTTAAATTATATAGCAGTTTTGGATAACCAAATAATTTAAACAAAATTGTAAGTCAACGAAAAAAGATTCTAACAAGAAAATCAAAATTCCAAAATTCCAATCTGTATATGCAACTCATCAAAGATTCTAAGTTTCTAACACGAAAATCAATACCCATTTCAACAAAACTTAATATACAAAACGAAGGAACTAAAACAAGTCATCTAACAAAGCCAAGAACAAGAACCACCTACTGTCAAGACGATTTTGCCCCAACTTCCGGCTGGCCCTCTTCAAAACCAACAACCACATCACCACCACCATAACTGCCGCCATCACCACCATCTTCAGAACCAGATTCATCATCTCCATGGAAACCAAAACCTCCACCAACTACAAAATCATAATCTTCTACACCACCAAAACCCCCACCATATCCTCCCCGCCACTCATCATCATCACTATCAATATCCAAAAATCTTGATCTGTTTTGAATCGCACGTCTTCGGAGTATAAAAACATTGAAATAATAACTCACGAGTTCCTTCTTTGTTTTATAAGGAAACGTAATCGAGAGTTGTTTCCATAAGCTTTTCCCAATAGATCCGGTGTGCAAATACACCACCTCATGAAAACGTCTCTCTTCTTCATCACTCCACTTGTAAGCAACTTCTTCCCCCATTTCCACCATTCCCAAATCAACAAACTTCTCACGCCCAAGCGATTCCATCAGTTTCAGTCTCGCTTCCTTCACATGTTGCTGCACACATCTAATTGAACCACCATCCAAGCACTCACAATTTGAAAATCCAGAACCGGAATGAATGATTCCATCGGAATGACTGATGCCGCCGGAATTGCTGATTCCACTGGAATGACTGATTCCATCGGAATCATGGATTCCAACGACAGAAACTCCCAACAGACGTTCAATCCCACTATTGATTTTATAAGTTCTCGCCAGCTCAGGGTTGAATTCCGGGACATCAGCTTGATGATCTGGTCCGATTGGAATCAATTTCCTGGGAGGGCGATTCATTAGAGATGAGTAGATATCATCGTAACAAAACAGTGGTCGCCTTGGGAAGTTGTTATCAAAGAATTCAGAAAAAAGATTAGGGCAGTAAACAGGCACAGATCCGGAATCGGATTCATCAGTTCCGATTCCGGTCACCAACGGTAAAGGTGCAGTTGTCTCGAACTCTTTGGGAACCATGAAAGGGACAGTAACATTTTCACTTTCCGGACTTTCATTTGAACGGAAATGCTTACGTCCGTCATCAGTAAATGAAGCTGACTTATTTCCATAGTCAAGATGCTTCGGGTGCTCAATGAACTCCTGAAGATCTTCATTGAAGGCTCGTTTGGTTCCCATCACTATTCGCAATCTGTAATGAAATCCAGAAGTAAATGCAATTGCAGAGTTGAGCAAAAAAAATGAATGGAACTGAGTTATGCATGGAATTACAGATCAGTCCTTGCCAAAAATGGGGAAAAGAAACTAAAGTTATATCATTGTCGGTGTTGAGAGAGAATGGGAGAAATAATTACCATTGATATACAGATATATGTACACGTATACATATTAGTAAAGTATCGGAAATCGTATCTTGGTTTTTATAACCCTAAGGATTACAAACATACACATATGGTTACCTAAAAATAAAAAACATGAAAGAGAGAGAGAGAAGGTGACTTGACACTACATAAAAGGTATGCAAAAGCGAAGGGTAAGCAGATATATAAACAAGAAGGATATAGAGAAATCAGAAGAGAAGATTGATTTTCCTGCATCAAGACAAATCCTGTGATCATTCTAGGAAAGTTATACAATTTGCAGTGAACCTTACAACATCCGGTTGAGACAATAAAATAGAAATAAAACAAATGCACCAAAAAACTTCAAATCTGATACAAACAACAAATCGTGTAATGGAACGTATTTAGAAAGGTAAAACAACAAGATTTGTAAAAATGTGAAATCATAATGATAAATTGATGTCATTAAAGTGGCCATATAAGTTAAGGTTGGTTCTAAAGTTTTAGTCCAACATGAAGCAAAAGCAGTGTCAATTACATTTATGTTTCGAATAATGTCAATAAAAGCCTTAACAAATAATAACTTTTGGATTATAAAGATACATAAAACAAACAGATTATTTATAAGATGGATGATTAAAATGTCTCTTTAACTCAGTAACACCATCACAGCTTCTTATGCACAATTTAAGCAAATAAAAGACAAACTTCTTGGCTATAACTATGAACATACTACTACGTTAATGTGCATGACATGGTGGTATGCTCGAGATAAACAAATTTTTGACATATGAAAACATGTCATTAGGGCATTAAAATTCCTTTCAAAGATTTTGATTGTAGTTTAGAAATGGGATAATTAACATTAAGATTAAGAATTACACAAACTTGCATTCCATATATCCAAAACCTTACATTTTAAACAGAAAACATCCTAAACTTATCAACCTGGACGTATCTCAGGTACTAGGACGCCTAATTTAAGCAGGTAAAATTATCCCCAATTTTTTTCTTGGAACCCTAACCCTAAACAGTAATATATGCATAAATCAACAAATTTTCAATCAATACGAATAATAAATCGTAATTAACGAGCATGCTTACCAAATCCCTCAATCAATTTACAAAGAAAACGAATTTTTCCAACACGCGCGCTTCAAAACCCTAAATGTAAATTATGCTAAACAATCTACAATTTACGATCAATGAACATAGGGTTATTTGCGAGGATCAAAAATCGACCAAGAGAATATCACCGATCGAAAGGGAAAAGGTTTAAATCGGAAAATTGAACGACAAACCCTAACCCTAAAATTAGATAAAAGAAACGAAATAGAGAAAAATTAAGATCGATCGATAGATCAGGAGTAGTTTAGAACTATTGAAAATTTAAATTTGACTATCGATTTAGAAGAACAAGATAAAACGAAGCCCGATCCGGAGAGACTTCGAAGAATACGATGAAAAGAGGGGAGAATCAAGAATGGATACGGTTCTTGTTTATCGATAGCTAGGAGAACGGTTCGGATATGTTACCGGTTTGGCCAAATTAAGCCGGTTACACGTGTCCAGTAGCCTTTCCTTTGAAAACCCGCTTGTTTATAAAACGTGCCCTTATGCAATGTCTTTTTACATATATGGCCCTTATTAGTTAACGATAAAGTTTAGAGGACCGATGTGGGTGGGATGCAAAGCATTCACCATCCACTCGATTGTTGATGTGGATCTTTGCTTTTGACTTTTTATCTTTTTATTAAATACACAACCACAAATCTATTCCTGTGTGGAATGGAATGGAGTGATTTAATATAAGATATTATTAATCTAACTGTATTTTTATTTAATATTAAAAAAATAATTTAAAAATAAGTTTTCTAAAAATGATCAAAACTTTTGGAATAGTATTTTTGACCATTGTGTCACAATCGGAAGAAATGATTTTTATTTATTAGGATAAATTCTCATAAATATCATTTGTGTAACGTCCCGTTCTTAAGTATTTGTGTATAAGTCCATGAGATTTAAGAGAAAGGGTGATGTTGGTCCTTTTAGGGGAAAAGTGAAAAAAGGATTATGCTGGGTACGCCCAGCGTAAGCTGGACGTACGCCCAGCGTAGTGGAGGAAAGAAACGCGGGTGTTTGGGTGAGTACGCCCAGCGTACTCTCAGAATCCCCAAAACCCTAATTTTTAAGACAACCACTATATATAGAACATAAAGGCTTCCTCCTTAGCCTCCATAATCACTCTCTTAACCTCAGAACCCCTAAGATAGTCGTTCCACCTCTTTGGTTGGGTGTGTTTGGTCTTGGAAAGCTCATTTAGGCAAAAGAGAAGCTAGAAGAAGAAAGAAGAAGTTGTCAAAGAAGGAGAGGAACGATTAGAGCTTGTAGATCTGGAGAGATATCATCCTTTGGAGCTTATTTGAGGTATAAAGCTTCTTGCTTGTCAATTATTTTGCATAGATCTAAGTGTTGTGAAGCTTTGGCATCATTCTTGTCCCAAAAGTCCTTATAAGTGTTGTGAAGCTTTGGCATCATTCTTGTCCCAAAAGTCCTTATCTTGAATCATGCTTTGTGTTGGCCGAGATTATCTGTCCTTTCAGACCTTAGGAGAGGTCTTGAGTGAGAAAAATGAGGTCCCAAGGGTTGTGGTTGTTCCATGTGTGAGATATATAGGTCTTAATGGATTAAGACCTTGGATTAAGAGCTTTATGGACGTCCCAAGTGATAAAGTTTGACACTTTATGAATCTTAGGCATATTTGGCATAGGGATCTAAAGTTTGGGCTTAAGAGCTTAAGTCATTAAGAAGTTATAAGGACTTAAAGAGTAGCAAAGTTACGCCCCGCGTAACATAGTAGTACGCCCCGCGTAGCGGGTCAGGGCCCCGATCCCCAGTTGCGAATCAACATGTACGCGCCGCGTACTAAGGAGGGTACGCCCAGCGTACTCCCCCTGATTGGACTTCCATGTTCGGCCTTAGAGTTTGGGCCGTTTGTGGGTTGTTAGTTTATGGGCTATGAATGGAAATTTATGGATAGAGTATTTTAGGCCCGATTATTGTTATGGACCTTGGATCTAGGCCCATTTGGTGAGGAGGGCCCAATTTAGTAAATTGGGCCAATATTGTGCTTTGTATAAGATTTGGACCTTGGGCCATTGGTGGGTTTGGGATCTTACCTAGTGTTGGGCCGGATTAAGTTAAGGGTAAAATGGTCAATTTACCCTTGGAAGAGTATTGTACTTGGCCTAATGTTTATTTGTGCTATGTTGGCTAGTTCGGGATTTGTGGTGAGTCGGTGATTTAGGAATCTGCTTTTTCATTTCAGAGTTTCAGCAATCGCGAGGTGAGTTATCCTCACTATATCAACAGGGTCTAAGGCACCAAGGTCGGCCCTTTATCGAATTGAGATCCGGGTATTTGTTGTTATGTTATTGCTTTGATATGTTTACGTCCTGGTAGTTAGGATGGTATATACTAGTGACCGGTTAAGCGGTATCCTGGTTAGGATGATGATATGTTATGTGATCTGTTTGATCAGCTTGTTGATTGTGAACTGTTATATGATTGTATGTTTATGTGCACATGGTTATTTGGACTGGAGTTGGGTTGAGGCGGGACCTGCTTTGTGCTGTAGGCCAACATACCTAGGGCGGACCGGTTATTCCGAAGGCCCAGCGAGCGGTCCGGATAGGCTGTAGGCCCCACGAGGGCGGACCAGACGTGCCGAGGCTCGGAGAGTGGACCAGGCGACTGAAGGCCCGATGCGGGCGGACCAGTCATACTGTAGACTCAGAGAGTGGACCAGGTGGGTTGAAGGCCCGGTACGGGTGGACCAACCACACTGCAGACTCGAGGGACATGACTAGACTCGGAGGGTGGACCCGGTGAACTGAAAGCCTGATACGGCAGACCAGTCACACAGTAGACCCGATATGCATGGTTGGTCTGTGATCGGTTATGATATGACATGTTATATGTGTATGGTATATGTGGTTGGTATTTTGGGGGTATCTCACTAAGCTTTCGGGCTTACAGTTGTGGATTAATGTTTTTCAGGTTCTTCAGGAGACTGTGGCAAGGCGAAGGCGTAATCGTACCGCTCCTCGTGTTTATGTTTTATGTTATGTTTCTGGGAATACTCTGATAATAAATGTATCGAAAACCTTTTTGTAAAAACTTAAAGTAATTAGGTTGTTTTGAAAAGTTAAAATTTGTTAAAAAATTTATGGTCGTTACAATTTGATTCTGTAATCTTGTTAATCTATATTAATAAAAAATCAATACATATCGACATAAGACAAATGGATAACAAACTGTGCCGCTAACGCTTTCTAAATGGCAAAACAATATTTTTGTAAAAATACTACATATATGGATCTAAGAGATATAACATTAATATGTATGACTCGTTAGACTTTGTTGAGGAACTCCACCGCTTCTGGTGTGAAAAAACCAAAGGTATTAAATGTGAAATGTATAAACACATGTTGATTTTCAATGTATGCATTCTCGCTTTTCTAGTATGCATTTGCGGCTTTCAAAACAGCATGCCACGTTGTAAAACTCTCGCTCCTCAAACAAACGATTGAGGAGGTCCCAGTAAGATTCACACAAGCGTGTTTCACAATTATAAAAATATATTTTTCTTATTACAAAACATTTTGAATTGATATCAAGATGTTGGATCCGATATTCAAGATTTCGAATGTGGAAAAAAAAATTATTCCAGAATTTTCAGAACAAATCCGAAATCTTATAAACGATTCGGAAATTTTAAGATATATATATATACACACACACACACACACACACACACGTGTGTGTGTGTGTGTTTATTAAGCCTAACAAAAAAATTAAAAGAAAAACAAAACAAAAGATTGTTCCAAAATAATTGTGGATCAACCATGCAATATGCAATGACAACAAACCAAGCATGTATGTGATCTCTCCTATAAAGTTGTAAGTTTCTTTTCTCTTTACTAGCCTAACTATTCTTTTTGTGGGTTTTTAAAAGGGTTGTGTTATAAATACACTCCGGCCCCTCCCTTCACTCACATAAATAGTCAAATTAGGACGACATACAAACACTATTACACTCACATGGAGGGGAAGGGGGGTACACAACATTGAGGTCAGATGCACGTTGGTTTGTTGTCATTGCATGGTTGATCCAAAATTGTCACCTCTCCTATGAAGTAAGTTTTTATCTCTTCCGTGGTTATGTGTATAGAGGTTTTTATTATTCATTTACTTCAACTTCCAATGCACATTGTCACCTCTCCAATAAAGTATGTTTTTATCTCTTTCAAAGCCTTTGTTTTAGATTTCACATACAAATCGGCTTGTTGATGTTCGTGGTTTTGGTGAAAGTGTCGTCATTTTAAATTTCGCATAAAAGCCCCGATGACCTAATACGGCATGAAATGGTTCATTTAGAGCAATGTTATTTTTGTAAACAATGTATAAAAACTTGATTATTTTCTTAAACACCTTATTTATAAAGGTTAGTTTAATGAATATCATTTTAATATATTACTATTAACTTATATTTAATTTCTTTAAATGTCTTGAAACTATTAATATTGTATCATATCTTACTATATGAATAAAGTACAATGTCTATTATAATCAAAGTAGTTCTTGCTTTATTAACTTTTGTGCTATATTTTCTTATATCTCATATAAGTTATTTTCTTTCATTTATTGTCATCATTGTTTTATAAATATATACAGTGTATTACTTAAAAATGTACAAATCATGGATTGGAAAACCATTGGTCTATCATTTACACAAACAAACCTTAGGCAGATGTGTATGATCACATAAGGCTGATTTTACACATCCTTCATTCGTGAACACCATTTCCAGACCTTTGTAGTCATGGTGTGGCGTGAGGTCCCCCCCCCCCCCCACACTCATTCTTTCTCTCTCGTCTTCTCCAAGCATAAAGATCGTACTCTTTGGTTGTGATGTGTTGGTGAGGTTTGGATGTTATGGATGTGTTTTGACGCGTTAAACTGTGATGGATGTGTCTTGACGCATTAAGCGTTCCCGTTAGCCTTACTTTTTAGGAAGAATTTTATATATGCCCCTCTTAAACTTCAAAATATCATATTTGCCCAGTTTAATTTCTCAATATCATATTTACCCTTCATAAACCTTCAAAATATCATATTTGCCCAAATCATATTTTATAATGTTTTTAATATTTTATACTCATTTTTTATACTTTAGAACTATTATAACAATTATGAAATTTAACCATATTACCCTGACGTATATGATAATGGAATGTGAACTTCTAAATTGTTGGAATGTCGACCTCTTGACAGACAAAAAGATTCATCTTCAACCCTTTCTATGAAATATATATTTTGATTGTTTAGTTTTTGTTGTTGTTGATTGTTACTATGTTCTAGATGGAGAATATTTTAGATATTACCATTGATATTTTGATGTTTAAAAAGTGCATATACGATATTTTGATATTTAAGAAGGGTATATATGATATTTTGATGTTTAAAAATAACATATATGATATTTTGAAATTTTATGAAGGGTAAATATGATATTTAGAAATTTTATGAAGGGTAAATATGATATTTAGAAATTAAGTTGGGTAAATATGATCTTTTGATGTTTAAGAAGGACATATATGAAATTCTCCCTATTTTTTAGGATTCCTCTCGCCAACTTTTGGCATATCACTACACAGCCAACCATTTGTTTCGTTAATGCATGCATTTCCATCACCACTTACTTTTTATCATGTTTATTATTGTTATATAGTGTCCATAACTAATTAATATCCTTATGAAGAAGAAAAAACAAATTATAGCAACAATCTCTAACTCTAAACAACTTATTAATTAATTAAAACTACAACTACATCAAAACCGTAACTAATTAATTAATATCCTTATGAATAACCAAAAAAGAGCAAAAATGAAACACTAAACGTTGGAAAGTTAAAAGTTTAACCTAATTAACCAATACTACTCCATCTTAACTCAAGCAACGGCAGGCATGTCCTTCAACCATGGGTCCAACGGCTTCCCAATCGAGTAAACAATAAACCCAATCTGCCTTAACTTACCCACATCTACAACATTCCTACCATCAAAAACATAAGCTGGTTTCGGCATATTATCAAAAATCTTCTTATAATCAAGACTCTTAAACTCATCCCACTCAGTAAGAATACAAATCGCATGAGCATCCTTTGTAGCTTCATAAGCATTATGAACCATTTTAACACTTTTCCTAACAGTCTCTTCATCTATCTGAATCGTTGTCGACCCTGAAGGTTGATCCCAGTCAAACTTCGGCATCGAAAGATCCTTCATCATTTGCTCTTCTGGAACCTGAGGATCATATACAATCAACTGAGCTCTATCCGATAACAAACCTCTACACACATCAATCGCCGGAGTTTCCCTCGTGTCACCGGTGTCTTTCTTGAAAGAAAACCCTAAAATCGCAATCTTTTTTCCTGACACCGTGTTAAACATGGAAGACACAAGTCTGTTCACAAATCGATTCTTTTGGTAATCATTAATCTTTATAACTTGTTTCCAGTAGTTTGCGACTTCGGGGAGACCATTGCATTCGCAAATGTAAACTAAATTCAAGATGTCTTTTTGAAAACAAGACCCACCAAACCCCACACTCGCGCTTAGAAACTTTGACCCGATTCTTTGATCTTTACCTACGGAATAAGAAACTTGGGTAACATTCGCACCTGTTGCTTCACATAGAGCTGAGATTGAGTTAACAGAAGAGATTCTTTGTGCTAAAAAAGCGTTAGCAGCGAGTTTGGAAAGCTCAGCAGACCAAAGATTAGTACAGATGATTCGTTCTTCTGGGACCCAATGAGCGTAAACATCTTTTAATGTTTTAATGGCTTTTAACCCTCCCGGAGTTTCTTCTCTACCTCCGATAAGGACACGATCGGGGTCAAATAAGTCGGCGATTGCAGTACCTTCAGCGAGGAATTCCGGGTTTGAGAGGATTTGAAATTCGATGCCTTTATTGTTGTGGGTGAGAATCTTTTCTATGGCTTCTGCTGTTTTAACTGGAACTGTTGACTTTTCAACTACGATTTTGGATGATTTTGATACGTCGGCGATCATACGTGCAGCGCTTTCCCAGTACGTGAGGTCGGCGGCTTTTCCGGCACCAAGTCCTGAACTTTTAGTTGGAGTATTGACGGAGACGAAGACTATATCTGCTTGTGCGACATTCTTTTCAACTTCGTTACTGAAGAAAAGATTCTTGCCTCTGCATTTCTTTACGACGTCGTCGAGTCCAGGTTCGTAGATAGGGAGTTTTTCACTGTTCCATGCTGTGATTCTAGGCACGGAGATGTCGACAACAGCCACTTCGATTGACGGGCATTTTAATGCTATGACAGCCATGGTTGGACCTCCGACATACCCAGCTCCGATACAACAGATTTTCACCATTCTTGTTTATGTTTTCTTCTTTACTCTCCTGTAACTGAAACGAATACCAAAGCCACACATTTAAAATGAAAGGAATTATTCAACAAGATCGATCAGATGGTGGATCCTTGCGAGAGAAAACCCTATATAGTGCAGATTGTTACATAAATATATACATACTTACTATATATGTAGTACGTACACACATCTATATATAAAGAAACTTAAACAAAATACTTATAAGTCAAATTTCACAATATGCATGAACAATTTCCGTATCAAATAATCAAAACCAACATTAAATATGGCTTCTTATAATCCAGATCTAGCCTTCCTTCACAATTAATCTCCAGATGCATATCCATAACATACAGATTAAGAACATGAGAGACACTCAAATACGAATAAGAGCAAGCGACATTCGTTAGTTTTACCAAGAGAACAAGGACGTGGAACATCTAGCCGGCGGCATGAGGATGAAATGCAACAAACGTAATTAAATCCCAAATTAAGTAACAGATAAAGTGGAGTAAGAATTTACCTTGTTTGTGGTACGCGAAGAAGAGTGAGAGGAAGTGGCAGATCGAGAGAATAGATCCAAACGGAATGGAGATGCGGAAGCAAGGTGGTAGGGAGATTATTATGGAGAAAAATGTGGAAATCAGTAAGTGATGAGTGAGAGCTGGAGATACAGGTGGTAGGGAGATTATATAAACTTCTAAATCAAAAAAGTGTTATGTATGACAAAAAAATTATTTTGTAAGGATAATCTCTCAATAAATACACATCTTATATATGTTGATACATGTTCTTTTTCTAGCCCTCCAATTCTTTTTTTCATGCTCATTTTTTTATCTAGCAAATACCTAATACCGTAATACGCCCTTCACTATAAACACCATTGACCAACGCATACTAAAATAGATACACTTGCTAACTACAGTCTACAAGAACGAGAAATCAATGAAACAAAGCTGAGGCTCTGCAAGGAATATTTAAATTCAGGTGATTCGATTTCGGATCAAAGCTTTTGTTTCAAGTTAATTTTGATTAAAGCATGTTGATTCAAGTCATTTTCAACGTTAGTGCCTATTTGCTTTGAAAAAAAAATCACTTCCATCTTAGTGTGTGTTCTTCTGTACGTGTTCTTCCTTGTTGTTCTTATGATTTAAACAATTAAACTGTAAATTTTTGAAAATCAAAATCATGGAATCTTAATATGTCTACGTATTATTTTGTTAGATTTATATGATTTGTTTTTTCTCGGTAAATATGGGTAAAGGGGAGTAAAGAATTCTCCTAAAGAATAGAGAAAAGTCCATCGTTGCCTATGATACAACTGCTAATGTTATGTATTAGACACACCTACCAATATCATCATTTAGTTGCATAGGGGTTCTAAACAAGCCAAAAATTTGGGGCTCTTTGGTCTTTACTATACTCCGAAATAAAAAACAAATGAGGTGAATATGTCGCAAAGAATAGAATCGGTAGAAGAATGCAATGTCGTTTCAGTTTCATGAATGCAGCGATCGGTGATTTACTCTTCCGCTTCATTTATATTGTGGTTACCGGATTGGATTTTTTAATGGACTAAACTTTTGGATTTTTGGAAAATATGGAACCCTTTAGAATTGGAGACCCTAAGCCCTAGCTTAAAAAACCTCTACATAGAACCAACCCTATTTAGGTACAATTGACAGGATTATAACGTTCTTTATTAGGCGCAGCTACCGATATTATCATTTTTACGTAGCTGTAACATATTTGTAGATATAAAATACATATACAATTTAGATATGAAAAAGTTTAAATCTTTCATCTAACACGGATTTCAAGATATAAAATACATATATAATTTAGATATGAAAAAAAGAAGTTTAAATCTTTCATCCAACACAGATCTCAAGATATAAAATACATATATAATTTAGATCTGAAAAAAAAAAGTTTAAATCTTTCATCCAGCACAGATCTCAAGATAAAAAATACATATACAATTTAGATATGAAAAAAAGAAGTTTAAACCTTTCTTCGAGCACATATCTCAAGATATAAAATACATATACAGTTTAGACCTGAAAAAAAAAAAGTTTAAACCTTTCTTCCCATACAGATCTCAAGATATAAAATACATATACAGTTTAGATCTGAAAAAAAAAAAGAAGTTTATATCTTTTATCCAGCAGAGATCTCAAGATATACAGATAATATGCACACATATATCATGTAATTTATATAAAATACTTCATATCTATGTGTAAGATGAAAGTAATTATGCACTCATTTAATGAGGTGGTGATTCCAACTTGGACAGTGCTTCGCTTCGAAGAAACCGGGTGGTTTGCTTGAAAATTGGACTCTACGGGGGCAGAGTTTCCGAACCAAAAAACTCTTTTTCTCGGAGCCTTCTGGCGCTCCGTGGTTTTCTTTTAGTGTTAGGGAAGTTTCCTAGCCTTTTTTTTTTGGGGGGGGGGGGGGGAGGCTTTAGAGAGTGAGTAGAGAGAAGAAGAATGGATTTTAAGGTGTGAAAAATGAAGGAACTGTCATGTGGTATTTATAGACTGAAAAGGTGATGAACTCGTCGAGTTTATGGCCCAACTCGTTGAATTTCTGGCCCCAAACCCGTTGAGTTTCTGGTCCAACTCGTCAAGTTGGTGTCACTTGTCGTTATCTGGTGGGGAGAAAGCAATGGCTCAAATTGCGCCACATCACCCACTTCGCTGCAGCACCTTTCCGGCTTCTAAACCCCATAACTTTCCTTTTGACTCCATCGGCTAATTCTCGATCGATTTTAAATTTAACAGTATAAGAAAATTACACTGTTTAACGACAGTGTAAAACTCATAACTTCTACATACGAGCTCCGTTTTCGACTGCCTTTTTATCGTTGAACTCATATTAATGAGATCTTCAATTCTCATTTAGGTTGTGTCGGCTAAAAATCGATCGATCTAAAATTCGAACTCCGGGCTGCACACTACTATGTCAAATCTTAGAAAATTCATAAGTTCCTCATACAAAGTCAGATATGGACGTTCTTTTTATGCACACTCTCGATTTAATGTATACTACGATTTTTGTTTAGATCACTAAGGCTAAAAAGCTCTTTATCGCAAACTCACTTTGTAACGCCCCGACTCTCAGGTGATAATTTTATGGCTTTAATTTTCATTAAATTGCAAGGTCTACTCGACGAGTTTGATGCCCTGACTCGTTGAGTAGAAGCGGTTTGGGCCACGTGTTTAGGTGACCTACTCACCAAGTCCAAGTTAGGACTCGGCGAATAAGAGTTGGAGGATGAAAGCCTAATTTTCGGGGTTTTGCACCCTATTTAAAGGATCATAAGCCTCCCTTAGCCCCCTTAAAGCCTCTTGAGAGTCCAACAAACCCTAATACGTGTGTGTGCTTCATTATTGTGTGTTTCAAGCTTTGGAAGGTGGATATTACTAAGGAGGGCTTAGAGAGCAAGTGGCTAGAAGCAAGGAACGTGTGAGGGATCTGAAATCTACCTCAGTCGTCATCTTTTAGAAGGTATCAGATTGTTTCCTTTACCTCAATTCATTCTAGATCTCATTGGATTAAAGATTTGGGCTTTTCTAGCATAATAAGAAGCTATTCTTGGGTGTGAGCTAAGATCCGAAGTTATAACTTCATATCTGAACTCTCTTTGGTCTATAAGCCCATAAAGCTTTCAGCTTTAGCAATTATGAGCCTCTCCTTAAGTGGAAAACTCCATTGCAAGCTTGGTTTTGACATTATGAGCCTTGCATGCACGTAAAGTTTGCAACTTTACGTGATAAACATGCCTTGGGAAGCTGGATCTGCATTATGGGGCCTTAACATGGCTTAAAAGCATCTGAATGGATAATGGATTGAAGGGACTCGACGAGTTGCATGGTCAACTCAGCGAGTCCGTTGAATATTGTCGTGCAAGGACTTATGCATGGACTCGGCGAGTCAACTTGGGTTTTCCCGACATTTGGACACGTTTAGACTTGGCGAGTTGAAAGGAAACTCGATGAGTCAGTAGGGGTTTTCACGACTACTCGAGTTTTGGAAGGACTTGATGAGTCAATGACTGCACTTGACGAGTCGGGTCAACATGGATTGTTGACCTTGATCGTTGACTTTGACTTTGACTAAGGATTGACTATTTAACTGTTGGGGCATTTTGGGAAGTTGGGCATTTATGAGTATGGTTCTATGGTGAATATAGGTGGTGGAGTTTGTGGCGGTGATCCGAGAGTTTGAGCTTATCTTTCGAGTCGACAGTTGCAAGGTGAGTTATCCTCGCTATACTCAGGGTCTAAGGCACCAAGACTGGTCCTTTTTCGGATTGTTATACTGATATATACTGTTATGATCTGTTAGATAGGTATCTTGGTAGATATGATGATATATGTTGCTATGATCTGTTAGATCGGTATCCTGGTAGATAGGATGATATATGTTGTTATGATTGGTTAGATCGCTATCCTGGTAAATATGATGATATATGTTGTTATGATTTGTTAGATCGGTATCCTGGTAGATAGGATGATATATGTTGTTATGATCTGTTAGATCAGTATCCTGGTATATGGAACGTTATATGATGTTATGATTCGTTAGATTAGTATTCCTGGTATATAGGATGTTATATGTTGCTATGATCCATTAGATCAGTATCATGGAAGATAGGATGTTGCTATACTATTGATCTGTTAGATTTTTTGTTGTCTATAGACTGTTATGTGATTATCTGCTATATGTGCACATGGTTGTTTGATAGGGGGTGATATGTGTATTTTTTTATATATATTTTTATGCACTTTATCTTAATATTTTGGCCTTATTTATTTTATTTTAGAACTAAAAAGTACTCATAATGCTTTGAATTATGTTTTGCAGCTATTCGTTGTCGATAAAGCACAAAAGAAAAGACTGAAGCGGAAACCGGACTTCAAAGCTTAAAGGAATCAAATTGTTGAATTAGAGGATTACGCCCCGCGTACCCTTGTGTTACGCGCTGCGTACAA